TATAAATATAATAGAAGAGTTTTATTTTAATATATATATGTATGGCTTAAAAATTTCATATTTTTTAGGTTGTTATGTAATAGAAGTACAGTTTTAATATTAAAATAATTAAAATATTATTAAATGTAGACAATATTTTTGTTGTACACTTTCAATACACTGAAAACCGCCTTTTTGATGGCTTAATTAGTCTTCTCTTCTGTACAGCATTGAAACAGCAGGGGGAACTTCATCTGGCCGGGGATAAATAAATATATAAATGAATGGACCGTTCAAGAATTCAATGTGATTTGTTTTATCTACATACATTTATTAATTTCAAGATCAAGTCATAAAGAAGTAGGTTGATTTTTATTCTGTATATTATTTTTTTTATGATTAATATCTTTAAATTTTTATTTTTAGTTAACACTTTTATAATTTAAAATTTATTAAATATTTAAAAATTAATAGTTAAACCCTTTATTTGTGCCTTAATTTTATTAATAATTTAATTTTTTTTAAGTTTAAAATTATGAAAGGTATTTACTAAAACTAAAAGTTATAAAGAGTGTTGATTGTAAAAAAAAAAAAAAAAAATTGTGTTCTAGTGTAAATGTGTAAATAGGGAGTTTAGCAAAAGAAGTACTAGTAATTTTATTTCTTCTTCATTTGTTTTGGATATGACATTTACAGCAAATTTGGAATGCATGGCACCATGACAAATTTGCCATATACCTACACTTTTTTCTACCTACGTTCAATATTTTGTAGGTATAGATCACCATTAGCTACGGTTTACAATTGGTGAATATATAAATTAAGTCATACTTACACACATAAACAAGCCGCAGGGAAAAGTGGACTATACCTACATAATTTACTTGACGTAGATACATGAGAGGTATTAACTACAGTTTATAATTTGTGGGTATTTAAATTTAAGATATACTTACACACATCAAAAAACCGTAGAAAAAGGACTATACCTACACAATTTTATTTGGCGTAGGTATATGTCATAACCCAATTTTTACTTGGCTTATTTTAATATTTTTACAATATATATATATATATATATAAAAGAGAAATCTTGATTTTTCTAAATATTAATTTCTCATAAATTCTTATGTTTTAATAAAATTTTGAACTTTAATGTGATGTGGAAAATTAACTTAGAAAATCTGTTAAAGAAAAATCGGGATTAAATTGAATTAATGGCCTTTTGTACTCAATTGAGAAAAATTTTAAATGAGAGTTCCATCCTGCAGGGGCCCAATTGTGATAAGGAAGGAAGTTGAGGACCGAAAAGATAGGTCGACGAAATATGTGGATCGAAGCATAAATCCAACCTCTTCAAATATGTTGTCGTTTCACTCAAGCATGGGAAAAAATCGAGGTCATTTTCCTCCTAGCCCAACCACACCGTGAATGCCTTGCGCTGCCATGGCAAAGTTTTTCACGGCTTAACCCCTAAATCCGATGATCAGCCCAGCCTTAATCAAAGATGAAGTTTCATGAAAGGTACCCTAGCCAAGGTTTGTGTGGGATTCGGATGTAAAAGGTAAACATTTTAAGGTTTTGGGGGGCCTCTTGAGATCTCAAATCTGAGATTTTTGGAGAAAAAAAGTAGGCTGGAAAATTGATACTATGAAGTTAAGGAAAAAAGTAGGAAAATGTTTACTTGATAGTTTCTCTTATTAATTACTATTTCCATCGTTATTTACAAGTTCATGTTACTGATGCCATATGAGTTGATATCTATAACAAAGTCAATCTTGACGACACTTGGGTCACCTTCATTATCTAAAATTAAAGAAAGCGGCAATCAATCCACAATGTGCATGGAGAGTAAAGGTTGCACGTATAGAATTACAGAAGCTAAAAATGGTGTTATCCTCTTTCTTTATATCTTTACTCTTCTCTCAAGAAACAAAGGCATTGCCAATCAAGGAACGTAAGGCTGCAAAGAATGTGGCCGAGCATGTTGTTGAAAATGAAAGTGAGGCTGCTAAGAAAATGGCTAAGCAGTCTGTAAGGGTAGTAATATAACTAGCCCATAAACATAGTGAAGGCCCATGAGGCCCAAATACAAAAGAGCACATGCATGAGTTACTATGGAGCTCATATACACTCAAATAGATCCAAAGGGACCAACAGAAGTGCAACACATATCTAGCATTCCCAAAGGATTTATAAATACCCTCACACCCCTCAAAGGTACGGGACTCCTCATTTAGTATTTCTCCCTAATACACTCCATTCTCTCTAAAGAGCTCTAAGCGTAGACTATTGCTGACTTAAGTATCGGAGTGTCTACCCCGAGGGCCACCCTCGGGGCTTTGTAGGTTTATTGGACAAGAAGATCTAAGCGAGGAAGGCCTTGAAGGTTTTCTGCAACAACATTGGCGCCGTCTGTGGGAATCGAATAAAAAGCTTCATTTCCATGTTGATCCGGTTGATTGGAGGGAGGAGAAAATGAGTGAAGGCCTCATGGCCTATTCACTTGAGTTGTAGAAGTAGATCTGATGAATTTACACTTGAGTTGCAGAAGTTTACACTTGAGTTGCAGAAGCAAATGTGATGAAAAGGGTCTATTCGCCCATGAAGAAGAAAAGCTTTCACAAAAAGACAAACAGGGGAGTAGCTCTGCACAATTATCGAGGCAAGTTACAATGTCAGCCATGAGTATTCAAGAAGCAAAAAAGTGTCAGCAAAACACAAGCTTAAGGTAACTTAGAGGGGTCCACCAAAAAAAAAAAGAAACTTATCCCTTTCCTTCTAAACTCCTCCGGTTTCAGCTACGATGGTCATGTGCCTCTTTGTTCTTCAACCATAAATGTACTTCTCATCTATTCAGTTGGTGATAATGAAAATGAAGGAAACAAAAATGGGGTTGGAGGGTGTGGTGAAGAAAGGCATGGAGTTGGGGGAGATGGCATTCAACAAAGACGGTGGAGTCATCAACTAGTTCCCCGCTCACATGGCTGCTGCCACCCGTGCCATCCGCCAACGCCTCAAGCTCTCCGTCCTCATCATCAAAGTCTGAGATTCCTGAAATATCATTATCCTCTGCTCATAAAGAATTGCAGCCTCAGCTCTCAGCCAAAAGCTTGCCAGTGTGAAAATCCCTCTAATTAGTTGCTAGTGAACAAAAGCCTATGGTTCCAATGACAGAAGAAGACTAAGCAACTATGGCCGAGCCGACTATGGCTGGGCTCCGTTACTCAAGCTCGACAATGATGAGCTGCAAGCATCTTGCTCGAGCACAAGCTGAAACAACTTGCTGGAGCACGAGGTGCAAATATCCTACTTGAGCACGAGCTGCTACAAACGTCTTGCTCGAGCAAAAGCTACGAATTGCAGAAGTCCAAGCTACAAATTGCACAAGTCCGCGGTGCGAGATGCTGAAGCACGAGCTGTGAAATGCCGAGGTGCAAAATGCAGGACCATAAGCTGCAAGCTGCCGAGATCAACCACTAGCTGCAGAGCTCAAACACTTGCTGTCAAGGTCAAGCACGAAGTGCAGAACTTGAGCACGAGCTGCAAAGTTCAAACACTTACAGTCGAGGTCAGCCACGAGCTTTAGAGGTCAAGCATGAAGTGTAGAAATCAACCACGAGCTGCAGAGCTCAAACATGAGCTGCCGAGATCAAGCATGAGCTGCAAAGGTCAAGCACAAAGTGTAGAGCTCAAACATGAGCTGCCGAGGTCAACCATGAGCTACATAGCTCAAACACTTGCTGTTGAGGTCTAGCACGAAGTGCAGAACTTGAGCACGAGCTGTAGAGCTCAAACACTTACTGCCGAGGTCAGCCACGAGCTGTAGAGGCCAAGCACGAAGTGCAGAACTTGAACACAAGGTGCAGAGGTCGAGCATGAACATAAAGATGTGCAGCACGGGCTGTAAGGTGTCAACACCCTCAACAAGGTCCCGACACTTTTCCTGCATCCGTCCTAAAAAGTCCGTGTCGGGTTTTTGTCCTTCTCTGCAAATTTTGTTAACGGTAAAATTACAGTTCCAACCCCTTACTTTTGGATTCTGCACAATTTAATCCTCAAATTTCATATCTTTGCAATTTACTCCTAAGGATTGTGACTTTTTCCAATTAAGTCCTCTCCAGCATAGAATGAAAATTATGCAAAATTAAGTAAATTTTCATAAATTCATCTAAATGTCAATAATATCAAGGCATAAATTTTACATTAATATGTATATAAATTTAGTTTATCAGCCAAGTATTGTTTTGAAAATTAAAAAAGATGAACTAGTAATCTTTTTCTTTAATTTATTTTATATAATATACTTTCTTGATTGTAAAACTTTATGCCTTTGATTTCTCCTTTTTTCAAAGTCCTTGTGATACAGGTTGTCAAGAAAGCAATTGAGTTCTGCAACAAATTAGAGCTTTGGTCCAAGCTTGGTCCAATCTTATATTAAAATTTATTATTAATTTCTTTCCGCATTCTTTGCATTCATTCTACATTTTTCCATTCATTCAGCACTTGTTTTTGCATTCATGATATCATTTTGCCATCTCATTTTTTATATATCATAATCATGCTACTTTGCTCATTTGCACTTATGATTATAAATATATGTTGCTATTTTAGAGATGGAAAAGTGCAGGGACTCCATGTGGGGTGGGTTCTAGAGAAATCCCTTTATGGTGAGCTCCTCCTGTGCAAGCTATGAACAACTCCTCCATCAAAAATTTTAAAAGGCCACGGGCCCAAACCATAAAGTTCAACAGCTTACAAAGATGATCAAGTAAATTTCTTCTTTGGCATCATTTATGAAAGGCTAGATTTTTTCTCCACATTTGCTCTTGAGTCAAGGCAAGGAGGAGTTAACATTGTTCATAAGAAGCTAAATTCTTTCTCGAGTTTCTATCTCATCAAGCACAATTCTTTCTCAAGTATAAATTAATTTTGCTCTGCAAGTCAAGTAAGTGTTACATATTAGAAATTTCAAAATTACTTTGCACATTTAAGATTTTTATGAGTTATTTTGCATGTCCAATTTTTGTTCTTATATTTACAAGCTAGAAAGACTTTTTATTACCACATGCATGACTGCTTGTTTATTGGACATGTTAAACCATAAAAAATGCAAATAGTGTAATTCATGATTACAACATTTATGTTTAGTGGCCCCAAATGTGCGGGTTGAAGGGGGAGAAGAGTCATATATTATGACTTCTAATAAGAACCTATAATTAACAAGTGCAGCTTCATAATTTATTCAAGTTACAGTTATTAACTGTGATACTAAGCTACAGATATATATATATATAGATATCTGTATCCTTCTCATATAATATGGTTAGCCTTGAACTTTAACAATAAGAACTTCATGTGCTGACTTAGGAACTTAAATAAGTTCATAAACTTAGTTGAGTTCATCCTCATGATAGTCCATTCTGAGGTGAACTCCCTTGGATGATGTAAACTTCGGATGAACTCAACTACTTGAGCTAATCCTCATGCTAGCCCATCTTGAGGTGAACTACCTTGGATGAGGTAAACAACCTTGGATGGGCTCAATTGCTTGAGCTCATCCGCATGATAACCCATTTTGAGGTAAACAACCTTGGATGAGGTAAACAACCTCAGATGAGCTCAATTGCTTGATCCCATCCTCATGATAATCGGGTGAACTACCCCGGATGAGGTAAACAACCTCAAATGAACTCAGCCTATGCTTGAGCTCATCCTCGTGACAGCCTAGTCTGAGATGAACTACCCCGGATGAGGCAAATGACCCTAGATGAGGCAAATGACCCCAGATGAGGCAAACGACCTCGGATTAACTCGAACTACCCCCTACCCACATAACCTCCACATCATTCACAAGTGAATGACTTCCAGAGGGGGAATAGTGTGATGGTAGTCCGATGTGAACTACCTTGGATGAGGTAAACCTCGGATGAACTCGACTGCTTTTGCTCATCCTCATCCTCATGATAACCTATTCCGAGGTCAACTACCTTGGATGAGGTAAACAATCTCGGATGAAATCCACTGCTTGAGCTCATCCTCATGACAATCTATTCCGAGGTGAACTCCCTTGGATGGTGTAAGCAACCTCTGATGAACTCCACTGCTTGAGCTCATCCTCATGACAATCCATTCCGAGGTGAACTCCCTTGGATGGTGTAAGCAACCTCGGATGAGCTCAACTGCTTGAGCTCATCCTCATGATAGCCCATTTGGATGAGGTAAACAACCTAAGATGAACTCAACTGCTTGAGCTTATCCACATGCTAACCCATCTAAGGCGAACTACCTTGGATGAGGTAAATAACTTTAGATGAACTCAACTGCTTGAGCTCATCCTTATGACAGCTGAGCTCAGGTTTAGCTTGCAACCAGCTTGCCATTTCACTAGCTATCTTGTGTTCCACCTCTCATGGGCCATTCATCAATAAGATATGATGAGCCTCTATTTATTAAATATATTGAATATAATATATTCTTCATGTTTCAACTAAAAGTGAGTGGCTTAAATGACATTTATCTATATTAATACATTTGTGGAGCCTCATGCAAATAATGGAATAATCCACAAGCTAATGGTATCCACGAGCTAGTGGTCTTTATTATTGGTTCTAACTTAAAGAGATAACTCTCTCTTTGAGAGAGGGAGTAGGAATACATAAGCAACAAAAATAAACTTACATAAGCAACAAACATAAACTTCTATACTTTACTTGGCATGCATTTAATTTGCTGCTTGAATAACTCAACCTGAGTATATTTTAAATATTCATATCTTATTATTGATGACTCATGCCACAAACATTTATATTTAATTCTAAATTATTGTGTCACTTTAATGTTGATGCATCTCATATATTATTGATTATTGATGAACTAATGGTATCTTGTCAAGTTCTATGTTTAGAATGAATTCTTACAGGTCTCATGAGTTTGTTAACTCCTTGGCTTGGAAGACTTAGAAATATGTTATTAGCTTTTAAACTTATCAGTTCATCAGAAAATACTATTGGCCTTTGAGCCCATTAGCTATTGGCCTTTGAGCCCATTAGCTATTGGCTTTTTTAGCCCATTCGATTTACAAGAGCTTGCGTCCATCAACTATCAGCTTCTCAGGTCATTTGTTCTATGAAAGCTCAATTCAATCTTAACTCTGCAAAGCATAACCCTTAAAGGGTTTTGATTTTATGCTATGACTCGAGAGACCAAGATTTTCTTATAGGCATCTCAAGGTGGGATTCTGTGGTAGGCATCTCCAGCTACCAAAATTGGCATTCAATCAACTCTACAAAAACTGGTTCTGATCCTAGCTCTATAGAGCATGACTCTCAAAAGTCTGACTTCCATTATTATGGCTCATGAGGTTGCAAATCGTCACTTTTGAGTCATCATTTTCAAGTCATCATTCTCAGCTACAACCATAACACGACTATGGGTCATGCATCTTTACTTCGGCTACGATCATAGTGACCCCGAGTCACACATTTTATTTCAGCTCCGGCCACATGACTCCAGTCATTATTTATTACTTCGGCTTAGGTCGCTATGACTCCGGTCATCATTATTTACCTTGGCTCCGGCCACATGACTCCGGTCATTACTTATTACTTCGGCTCCGGCCACTATAACTTCGGTCATCATTATTTACCTCGGCTTTAGCCATAGTGACACCGAGTCACCAGTTCTACCTCGGCTACGGCCATAGTGACCACGAGTCACCAGTTCTACTTCACCTCTGGCCATAGTGACCCCGAGTCACATATTTTACTTCAGCTCCGACCATAGTGGTCTCGAGTTACATGTTTTACTTCGGCTCCAGCCCACAGTGACCTAGTGTCACATGTTTTACTTCGGCTATGACCCACATGACTACGGTCACATGTTTTACTTCGGCTCAGGCCCATAGTGACCCAGTCACATTTTTACTTCGGCTATGGCCCACATGACTAGGGTCTCATGTTTCACTTCGGCTCCGACCTACAGTGACCCAACGTCACATGCTTTACTTCGGCTCCAGCCACAGTGACCTAGCGTCACATGTTTTACTTCGGCTCCAGCCACAATGACCCAGTGTCACATGTTTTACTTCAGCTCCAGCCCACAGTGGCCTAGCGTCACACGTTTCACTTCGGCTCCTGCCATAATGACCCAATTCCATATGTTTCACCTCAGTTCTTGGCATAGTAACCCACTGTCACCTACTTTAATAGTATTATACAGCTACATAACATGCTTCTCACATTAGCTGATCTTGTATTATATTTATCACCTGCTATCATATACTTCCCTTACCACATCATTCACAAGTGAATGACTTCGAGGGGGGAATAGTGTAAGGATAGGTCCAAGATGCCCAACCTCAGACGTACGACAGTAATTTCTTTGTAACCGAAGTGAAGGATAAATCCAACACTTCCCGCTCAAACAGCTACATGACAGCAACAATAAGCAGAAAATCATATAATGATAGGCATTTCTAATCTGAAGCCAGTATGATTTTCGTGCCTACTATGAATGTTTTGGGTTAGGATTTTTCTTAATATGATTTACCTTGTTGATTCATCATGTTT